AGAGAGAGAGAGAGAGAGAGAGGCAGACAGACTGAAAGACAGACAGACTGACAGAGAGAGATCGATACAGAGAAACAGAGACCTATCAAGCCCCAAAATGCAAAACTCCATAATCTACCATGGATTCTAGAAGAAATTCTAGGAGCTTTGATAAGGAATACAAACCCCTGACATATCTGTTTCCTGACCAGCAATGGATATAACCTCACCTCTTCTGATTTCCATGAGCCTCAAACATACAAATTATTTGCTCAAAACACAGGCTCACGCCTCTGGCCTTTGCATTTGGTGCTGTTTACTTTATTTTTGGGGGCGAAGATGTTGTTTACTTTTACAAATATATAATACAATTATTATCCTAACTAATTTTTCCCTATGTTCTTAGCCTAATTCATAAGTATCCTTCAAGGGTTAAATTCAAACAATTGCCTCAGCTACATGAGCCATCCCTCTCTGTGGTGCTGACTTCTCACCACACAGTTCTATAGTATTTGACTTTCCCACTAGTCTACTAGAAAAGAATTATTTTTTGTGTCAGAAAGTGCCAAAAATATACTAAGTGCTCAATAAAGTTTTAATTACTAAAATATTAAAGTGGTGAATGAACAGAAAATCGTGGAAGGGCTGGGACAAAGGGAGAATATTAATTTCTATCTCTAAGATACATGCAACTAACTTTTCTAAGGGCAGAAAAATGAACTTTGGGGGAAAAGCAAAAACCACTTAAAGGGAAAAAGAAAGAATGAAAAATGGCTTTTGAACACTACAAATTAAGTAGAACTCACTGGCAATAGAACTACTAAATTCTCAATAATGAGTTACATAGTTCAATTAGAAACCATTGCTTTTGACTTCAAATGTGCATCAGAGGAGAGGAGATACTTGCTTTTCTAGGGCTGTCACTCGGGTATGAACACATTTCAGATTTATCAGAGCCCAGTCACTTTGAGCTAGGGCAGCATCATCTCCAGAAAAGAGTGTGTAAGGACCCACTGTCATAGTTACTTTTTATGCGTTGCTGAGACAAAATAACTGAAGCCCAAAGTTGAGAAAAGAAAGGTTTATTTCTTACAGTTTAGGGAGGTTTCAGTCCATACTCAGTTGGCTCCAAGGCAGGCTGGCATGGCAGGGCCGCAGTTCAGGGCTACAAACAGCAAGGCAGAAACCGGCAAGAGAGCAAGACACACCCTCTTCCTGCCATTACATCACATCCTGGCTCCACCCTTTTGTGGATGTAGCACTGACACCATCAATCCAAATGCTAGACAATGAACCCATCACAAATTCACAATGCAAATGCATGAGGCCTGGGGGCCACAGGCATAAACCATGACAACCCACCATGATGCCAATTCCTTGTTCACCCTGTTTCATGTAATTAAAATGTAATTCCATCTGGAGCTATCCCTCCAGATGGCATTTCCTGCTCTAACTGTTCAATGGTTTAAAGGTACCAAGTCAGATTTGGCACTGAGCAGGATGATCCTGCGTGACTAACCTGACTGGGTGATACCCTCTGGCTTCAGCAATATGATTGTCTCCCATCTGGATTTCTAGAGCCTAAGACTTGAATGCAGCCTTATGAATTGGTTAGGCCAACCAAGTCTCTGAGTAATTTCTCTGACTTTACTGTTTTCATCCTCTAATATAACTCAACTTCTTACTAACTGTTGTCTCTCCAGGGCTTAAGTTTCTGTTTCGCCCATTCATTTATTCATTTCTCACCACATTTTCTTGTGTACTCCCAATGTTTCCATTTTTGTACTTTATACAGAGTTCACTGTGCTGAACAAAACAGAACCAGTCTGTTTTTCATATCTCATTGTAGAAGTGAGACCACATTCATTCCCAAAGATTGGCTTCTACCCCTTTATGACTTATTATTATTTATCTGTTGTATTCACTTCAGTTTTCAAGGGTTCTGTATCAGGAGTGAGTTGGAGTCCCACATCACTGACGCACGGTCGTCCTGCCAACACCTCCAACTCAACAAAGTCACCCTTTCCCTCTCTGCACTGGTTTTTCTTGTTACTTCTCTATTTTTTTGTCAATAATGATCTGCACTGGTTGGGCACAGAGCTTCAGTGATACCCCAGTTGTTTCCTCTTCCACATCCCAACACTGCACCCAACTTTATCTATTCTTCTTCCTTCTAGACAAATGCTTTTCACATCTGTCATTTCCTTTTCTTACTCACTGCCATATGCAGGGCTCAGATTACCTGTCAAGCCTGGGCCATTGCACCTGCCCACAGTGGTGCTCCTCTAGGCACATCCCCTCTAGAGCACCCTGACTATTGCTACCCAGTTAATACTAAGAGCATATCATAGGGTGCAATGGATATTATGTTGGTTAACTTCCATTTCCTGAAGTATTTCTTTCAGAACTATTTTCCTACTACCACATACCACAAATATACTGTTTAAAGTGCTTGAATTGGCAATCCAAATATTAATGCCCTGGTCTCCTCTTTCTTTCTATGAGAATGTGTCCTCAAGGGTTTTTCTATCCCATATCATCTTCTCAGACCCCTTTCTCCTTCCTTCATCAAGTATGAGGCTACTCCCTTTCTTCCCATAAATATGTAATGCAGTATTTTGTTCAAACGGTTGGTTTAGGAACCAAACACATCAAATCCAAAGCTTGTTTCTGCCATTTATTTACAAGTTGTGTGCTCTTGGGATATCTAACATTCTGTGTTCCAGTTTTTTTTTTTTTTAATCAAGAAACTGAGGAGGAAACTTGCCTTGTGGGGAAGGTGCAAGAATTGAATAAAATAATGCCAAGCTTATGGTATATGATTGATCTCTCTAGCATTTCAGTATGCTGAATGACTGGAATTCCAAGCCATTCTCCTAGTACCCTTTTTCTCTGAAAATAGGAGTGAACTGGAAAATAATCATCCTTGAAAACTAGCGATCAAAAATGCTATCTTGAGTCAGCCCATCCTTGCTTTATCTGCTTTAGAGAGTAGCCAGTGAGCAAGAGAAGAGTTACAGTAGGTAAAGTAAGAATAGTCTGATTCAGGCTGGCATTTTTGATCTCTAGTTTTCAAGGCTGGTTATTTTCCAGCGAGGTCATATTTTCAGAGAAAAGGGACAGTTAGTGAACATGTCCAGTGGGCCAAGGCACACGGAAATATCCCTTAAAAACTCATGGCCTCACTTTGCCAGCGACGAAGGAGCCTCATGAGCCTCTGTCTTCCTGCTGTGTGCTTGCTGGGCTTCACTGGTGCTGTCCTCCTCGCTGTTAGTCATCTGTGCCTCATGTACACAGGAATGTATTCCCATCCAGATTCACACATCTCTCGGTAAGTGATCTTTCTCAAAACCTAGCTTCGGCCTTCTGCTTGGGGCTGCCCTGGCCCTCAGGTTGGCTTTCCAGTCTGTTGAGTCAGGCTGTGTCCATTCACGACTCTCAGTCCACAAAGTCCCAGGGTCTGTTGCTTCAACACATATCACTCATCGCTGGTGTGGAGGAGGCAGATCCTTGTGATGTCATCTGTTTGCAAACAACTTCTACAAATCCCCTCCTACAGGAAATCACAGAATCTCACCAAGGGAAGAAAGAGCCACTCCCATATGTGGCAGGGCTGTCCCTGGGATCCTCCTTCACTGGAGGTCATTTGACCTCAGCTTTAAACAGCCTGGATGAGTCAATGAAGCATTTTTGACTTTGTCTCTGAGTGCATACCTTGAGCGGACAGCTCTGAGTGGATGCTGTGTCAGAGCTCGCCAGTCACTGCATCATTAATACCATAGTGATAGAGAAGCCCAACTACAATTTTCTCAGAGCCTGGATGTGTCAATAAAGACTCGAGTACCTCTTCCCCTGAGTAGTGGTGATTTCTAAGGTTGTAGAGCATGACAGTGAGCATAAGAACATCCACTTTTGTGTCACACAAACTTCTGTTCAAATCTCACCTCCATCACTCATCATCTGGGCCTTCCACATCCACTAGCTATGCCGCTCTGACCCAAATCATTGAAACTTCCTGAACCCCAACCTATGAATACATAGAGGTAGAAATGAATGTCAATTTTTGAGACATTAAGTGAGTATTAAGTGACGTGATTTGTAAAGTACCTTAGCATGTATCTGGAACAATGTTAGCACCTCATCAGAGATAGTTATTTTATTACTATGATTGTCACCAGTATTATTTCTTCCTTTCTGAACCCAGATACACTGTGCAGAAGGCTTGTTCCTAATATTTCCTCTTGTCTACAGTGAGCAGGACAAGTCTGAGCCACAGGGCTGGGTTTCTATCCCGATCAGGGTGACACCACCACCCTTCCTGGAAAAGGAGATTCCCACCTTCTGAGCACAGCACATCACACCCTACAGTAAGTAGGAAACCAGGAGGTCCCAATCATGCCACAGTTATGCAGGTGAGACCAGGAGAGGACAGCCCCTGGAAGCCATAGCTTGGAAAGTTTCCTCACCTCATTGTCAAGGATCCTCCATCACACACACATACACACACACACACACACACACACACACACACACACACTCACACACACACACAAAGCAACAACAAACAAACTTCACCTGGCCGGATCCAAAACTCTCCAAAGTTTCCAATCTTAACATCAGCCACAAAGGCCCCTGAATCTGGTGCCAGAAGTCCCTGTTGGCTGAAGAAAGCTTAGGGACCCAGCAGAGCAGTAGCAGAACAAACTCTGGAATCATACATCCAGTCCTCTTCATCATATAAGGCTAACTGACTGAACAAATTACTTAGCCTCAGTTTCTTTTCTATAAAATGGGCATAGCACACTCACCTCAGTGAGTCATTAGAAAAATCGGATGATGCTTGCCTCACAAAATTCTTAGAATTCCTAAAACAGTTGATACGTGATCACAGCTGCTATCGTGATTAACTACCAGAACCACATTTTCTCCAACACGAAGTTTTCTTCTCTTGTGAGGGTAGTGAATGAGGTAATAAAGTAAGACTGATACATATGCAATGAAGAAATAAATAGGAAAAGGGATGGTCTCAGCAGGTAGAAGCTTTATTATGATATCTTCAAAGGACAACTCAGTAAACATGTTTTAAGCACCTGCTGTGCAAACCCCTACACATAGGAGTCCAGTGTTCCATTTATGGTTCTCGGGGCCCTCGCGGGAAAAATCACATGGAAAGGTCAGGGAGATCTGCAGGACTGAGAACAGCGTGGCCCGTGAACATGAAGTGCAGTTAGCTCTGTGAGGTCTGACCTCGAGGCCTAGCGCACAGAGCTGTCACACTAGGCGGGGATGTGATAGTGGAGTCGCTCCGGGCTGAGCGTGGGCTCCCCAGCTCCAGTGGGCCTCGCGCCAGCTCAGCAGCCTCCGCAGCAGCCGGAGCTCTGGTTATTGCAGGAACTCTGGGATCGCTGGCTCCTCCTGCAGCAACCGCCGCCCCCGCACTGCCGGCGGCGCCTCCTGGGGAAGCAGCAGCAGCCGTTGGAGCTTGAGCCGCAGCAGCCGGCGTCTCCGCAGCAGCCTCCGCCACAACAGCCTCCGTTGCCCACGCCGGAACCGCAGCAGCCTCCACAGCAAGAAGAGGAGCGGGAGGGCACAGGAGCGGGCGCGGGGGCAGGGCACGGAGTGGGGCCCTGGGAAGATCCCTTGGAAAAGCCTTTGCCGGAAGACGCACCCTGCTGAGACATGGTTGAGCTCCTCAAGGCAAACCTGGAAGAGAGGTGGCTTTCAGATGCCACAGCACGCCTTTGCAACAATGGGAAACTTGAGATTGGGAATTTGGTCTAAAGTGAGCAAATCAACCTGGCATGGTGGAAGAAAAACTTAAAGCACCAAGAAAGGTTTGAAACAAAGAAACAGACCCAAAATAGGTATTTCCAGCGAGTTAAACATAAAGGGCAGGAAATCACTTATGCCAGTAGTGCTTTCCTAAGTTTCTGATCAGAATCAGGGCTACCCAGGTTTTCCATGGTGGCAAATAGAGGCTTCTGCAGCAATGCATCTGCATGATTCTGTCCAAAACTGTTCTCTGGGCTGTTTTCCTTTCCCCCATTTCACTTTGACCATGGACATTCAAGCAATATTTTCAAAGTTACTATCGTTGCCATTTTATCTGCTAAAACAATGCCCCAATGATACATGCATCCCTGCCTCCTGGGTCAAAATATCCACAAACACAGAACCACGTCCTGGTTGTTATTCCTTGCAGGGGCAACACTGCACCTACTTGCACTAAGAAAGGCCAGGTGTGCAGAGAATGGAAACATGCCTAACTAGAAAACCAACAGATGTGGGTTCTAGTCATAATTCTTCTAAGACTAAGCAACTTCTAAGTTTCCATGCAACTTGGCAAAAGTTACACACACCTGGCTTCCACGTCCTCGTTGCACAGTGAGTAGTTGCCTCACTTGACGCCTAAGATGCTCCCCAAGGCTCCTTCCACGTGCACCTACAGGCTAGAATCTGCTTCCTCCTAATCTCTGTCTTTAGCTCTTCCCACCTTCCTTCCTCAGCCCCCACACAACTTACCAGATGCTGGTTCCACTGGAAGACTCCCTCAGTTCTCCAACTGGAAGGTGACACCTGCTACCGATAGGCAGTAGTCTGAGCAGTGTACAGCTGGGAGAACCTTTTATAAGATTCCAGTCAAGCTCAGGGTTGGGAGGGGCCCATTTCCCAATACACGTGCTCAGCTGACACTCACAGCACAAGAAGAGTCATCACTCAGGTAGTACCGTAGGTGGTGCACGTGGATATCCAAGTCACTTCACAGGGGTGCCAGGATTGCTGTGGTATGTTTACTCTCCAAACAGGACATTGTTCCTAGCTGGGAGGGCTGTGTGTGTGTGCTTAGAGAAGGCCTGGGGCTCCAAGGGATGAGAGATGGGCCCTGTCTTCTTTCTTCTACAGTGTACACATAGGCACAAACACACTTCCACTTGCCCATCTCTCCTTCCCTATGTAGCCATCCCCTTGATAGTGAGTAGTTTGCTTGCTCTCTTGGTTGGCATCTCTTTAGTCTTGGTCCTTGGCAGCTCAGAGTAGGCTACAGGCTATGTGTTAGGCCCAGTGGATTTCATCCACATGATCCCAGATAGAGCTCAGTGAGATGAGGAGGGGCTGATGGGAATTCCAGTGGTGATTTCTCTGTTACCAGACACAGAAAGAAAAACCCAGGCAACTTTAAGAGACCATTGAGACACAAAATGTTGCAAATGTAGTCAGGTTACCATATCCCCATAATACAGACCCTGTACATCTAGGAGAAAAGTGTGGGTAATGGCCAAATGGCAAATCAGCCTTAGGACTCTCAGCTTCTGTCACCTTCTGTCACCCTCTACCTGTCACCTCTATCTCTCTTTGAAGATAAGATCTCCCTGGAGCCTTTGCCCCACAGGGAAGAAAACAAAAGCATAAAGGAAGGAGGGTAGAGAGGAAAGGAAAGGAAGGAGGAGAAAAAGAGGAAAGGGATAGGAGGAGGAAAAAGGAAAAAGGAAAGGAGGAAGGAAGGAAGGAAGGAAGGAAGGAAGGAAGGAAGGAAAAGAGGAGTGAAAAGAGAAAAATAAAGTGAGATAAGAAGTCCTTTCCAGACGCCTAAAGTTGTCAATGATAATTGTTGCTTTTAAAATAACCAACTTTAACTATCAAAGGAGACTTTCAAGGTCAGCTGCCTCACAACTGCTTTTTAATCAGTGCAGTTGCCAGGCCATACCCAAGCTGAGATGGTAACAAGTCCCAAGACTAAGAATTCAGGGGTTCATGTTGAGAGTTGGACGGGAGTGAGTGAGCTGGGAGCAGCATGAGGAAGCACACAAGAATGGCAGGTTATAAAAGACACCAGTTTCATTTACTGTGGCTTTAGAGCCTGATGAACAGGTTGCCTATGTCTACAGCACCTCTTGACAAGTCAGGATGAGACATTCCAAGAAGAGAGGTCAATATAAGAGAAGAGAAGGAAGTAATGGAGCAGCAAGATGCATGTCTCCCCTGGTAACCGCACAAAGTTCTTTGAAAAAGAGATGATAAGAGTCAGTACAAGAGATTTGGGCCAGTAGCTGCCATCACACAGATCTACCATGACCTCTTATACTAACTTACTTTACCTGCCACGGTTAATTCTTATCAAAAGAAAGGCCAACTGCATAACTCTTACAGAGAAAAGTGATTTGGAATAAAAATCTTTTCTATCATGAAGTTTTTGAGAGTCCCCTGAAGGAACCAGCCCATTCTTAAAGGAACATGATCTGAAAATCCACTGCCCTAGCACACTTGCACACACACACACACACACACACACACACACACACACACACACACGATGACAGTCTTTGGCAGAGCATAGTGTATTTCTTGATTGTCTACTCAGACCCAAACCCAGGATTTGAGGATTCAGGGGAAATGGGTTCAGATATGTCATACCTGCCTCCTAAACCTGCTATCCTAGAAAGTCTCCCCTCTGGCCAACTTATAGACTTAACTGGGATTATAATAACTAGAAAAGTAGGATGTCCACACATTGGCATTCAGAATGAGCACTATAGGCAATCGTACTTCTCAATAATAGTAGAGAAACTTTTCCCAACTATAAAGAATACTTTCAGGAAACCCCCAGAATATAACCTTCTGAGGTACCTCAAGCCTTGTCTCCTCAAACCATCACTGCCCCTCCCCTCATGTGTGCAACACACTGGCCTCAAACATGACTTTTTCCTTCAAATTTGAAACTTCCAAATTCAAATCACTAAAGGAAATAATTGTATCCTGCAACTCTAAGCCAAAATATGTTTCCCAGATAGGTGTTTTTAAGTGCCCACTTACACTTTAAAAAAAAAATGGAAGGGGTGATAATGTGGTAGAGAGGGAGTGGGGAACAGAACAGAGCATAACTAGGAGGCAGGGATACCAGAAATAAAAAGCTTTATTGTTGCAGAGAAAATAAGTTTCATAACTGAATTTCAGCATTTTGTGCTCTAAAAAACTATAAGAGGGAAACCCAGGCCAGAGAACATCAGAGGTGAGACCTGTAAATCTCACAGCGAATGAACAAGAGCAGAAGAAAGGAGAGCTTCAAAGCATTTCAGAAACACTTCTACTGGCAAATAGGACAAGAGACTGCTCAGGTTCTTCTGCTAATGCTGCTCCTTGTGGCCCAGGTCAGCAGCCGCTCCCTGAGGTGTGACACCAACTGGAGCCCCCAGACTGCTGGCCACTGCCACCACCACTGCTGCAGCAGCCACTGCCACCACTGCTGCTACAGCAGCTACTGCTACTGCCACAGCAGCCACTACTGCCACCACTGCTGCAGCAGCCAGAGCTCTGGTGTCGGTGTCTGCGTAGAAGAGATCGGCGGGGCTTGTGGTGGCTCAGGCAGCAGCCACCACCCCCAGAGCTGCAGCAGCCACCCGAGCTGCAGCAGCCTCCAGAGCTGGAGCCACAGCAGCTGCTAGAGCCCAGGCTACAGCAGGAAGACGCTGGAGGTGGGCAGGGGGACTTGGGTGGGCATTTGGGGGTGCACTTAGGAGGAGGCTGGCACTGCTTCTGGCTCTGCTGGCAGGACATCTCGGCAGGAAATGAATGCGCTGAAAGACAGTACAAAGGTTTTAAATTCATCTACTCCAAGATAACTTTCTTACATTTAAAAATGGAACTCTGATTTCACAAAATTTTATGCCTCTGATGATCAGATTTTAAAAACCTAAGACTATCACAAAAACACACAAATGAATTTAACCTAAGAACTTCTCATATTTTCAAATTAACTCCTTGCAACTTCAAAAAGATACTAATTCCTCATGGCCTTCCTTACCTTCTACCCTTCTTCCTCTTCCAACCTCACCCCCCCACACACACACACACTTTTCCTTGTCATTCTCCAAAATCGTTCTCAGTTTCTACTCTGGGCCTCCTTCTGCCCAAAATGTGAGCTCCAAGAGTCCCACCCCTAGTCCCTGAGGTGCACTTCACCTGGCTCAAGCACTGGAGTAAAATACCCAGGAGGGACTGAGGTAGACTGAGTTACTATAGGAAGCTCTCTCCTTTTATATAGCTCGGATCTGACCTGGTAACTGACCATTGCAGGATGCTGAGAGCATCTTTCACAGAGGATGGGTAACACTCTCCCCTCACATCCCAAGGATGCAATCCCTCCCTTCATAAGCATCTGAAGTATTATCCCACAGAAAGGTCCCCTGGGAACTGCAGACCTCTATGATAGAGATGGAGCTTCTCATATTACACACCACCCCTGTCAACCTCACAGGCAGCTCTGCTATGCTACATATTTCCTTAGCTGGGCTAGTGCTGTTCTAGACCGCTGGAGTAAAGAAAATGTCTGTTTTCTCTTTGGAATGGGAAATGGACAAAGACATTCTCAATGTGCACATTAAATGGTCCTTTTTAGAATAAAGATATAGATTCAAAATAAAATCCCAAGCCCACACCAATAATCTAAAGTGGCTTTGTTTTTCCTCAGATGACAGCATAGCCTGCACTAAGAATGCTTGATATTCCAATGATGTTATTTTTGGAAGGTCTAATGCAATTGGTATGGGTGCTTGAACTTCTGTCCCTGTGTGAACCTGACACACCAAGACTCACAAGTAGCACAGATCCAGCATGAACAATTGCATAGAATAGGCTGAAGAATTCCAGGAATAACCTCTGTGTTTATGTGTGAGTCTAAAAAAAGACAGCTTTAGCTGGCACAAGGTAAAGTAGCGAGCTGGGGAGCTAGACTCATCTGCAAGTTGCCAGAATTGATCATATCTAAACCAAGAGCTAGGGAGATCCATTTTCTGTAAATGGCCTAAAGTGGAGGTTCTTTGGATGTAGGGACAGAGTCTAACAACTTGTAGAGTCTAACAACTAACACAGGTTTTGAAAGCCCACTGTTTCCCCTACAAACGATATTCTGAGGGTGAATTAGTTCTCCAGAAAATCATCAAAAATTGATTTGCATGAGAAAGGTAGCCAAAATATGATATATTGGCAATGAAATTTACAGTGGGAGAATATAAAATAGCAGACCCAGACAGCACCTCAATTCCATTCTGGCTTAAATGGGCTGCAATGGGAAGCATTGTGTTTCAATTATAATCCAGACTCTGGAGAGAGACTGGGTCATTTCCAGTGCTGCCCTCTCTCTCTCCCTGAGCAGTCTCAGAAAAATTATCTAATCATCATTGACAAATAAGGATGGTAACGAATTCAAGTTCATTACAGAAGACTGAGGCAGCAGAATCACTAGTTCAAGCCCAACCTAGGTGACTTAATGAAACCATCTCAAAAATTAAAAAAAAAAAAAAAGTGCAGAAGGCCTGGGATGTAGCTCAATGTGAAGGCACCAGATTCAATCTCCAATACCCAAAATTTTAAAATTTTTTTTGAAAAAGCAATACTAATTCTCAGAAAATGGTGTGAATCTGAAATACTAGTCTAAAAACAATTTGTGTTGATGTATCATATATCGTGTGCCCCACAAGTATGTACAATTTTGTGTTTTATACATGTTTTAGAAAATAAGTTAAAAATTTAAAAACTAAGGTATTTCAAAAATAAATAAAGATAACGTGATCTTTGTGGATACCCATTTCTGTGAGAAAATAGACTCTAAATTTCAAGTTATTGATCTGCGCATGTTTGAAACCAAAACTATTTTTAATATCAGAATTTAGCTCTAATGTTTTCATATAGCAAAAACATTTAAGTATTTGTCTGACATTGATAAATGATATTATAAAGAAAGCAATAATTATTATTAAAAAATAAAAATCATTTTATAATCCCATCCCCAGGTTACTATTAATATTTTACCATTTTCCTTCCTTTTCTCTAAATCATGTGTAAGTTTTGTTTTGAGTGTATATGTACAGTCTTTATCATCATACATATAATAGTTTATCTAATTTCTCACTTAACATCTTAATGTAACCATCAATTTGGGGAGAGCTTTATTTGAATTGCTGGAAGAATATTTCAGAGACTGCAGAACTTATTTATGAGTGGTTGAAAGCATTAGATCTAGAGCCCATCTCTGGGATTGAGTACCAGTTCCCCATTCACATTGCTATGGTCACTGTGCTCTCTGAAAAATGGGGGGAAAGTAGTGGATTCCATAGGGTTATTTGCATATAAAATGCATTAACATTAATAAAGCCCTCGGCATAGTGCCTCGTATACAGTAAGCACTCAATAAATGTTAAAATGAAACCACAATGCTGTGCCACTTCCCACTCTCATCTCACAGTTAGCAGCATAGGTTGATATAAAGACCTTAAGGTAGAGAGACAGACGGACTACTTTGGCCACAAGATCTCTGAGTATCAGAGGACCGACCTCTACCTGCCTTGCTGAGAAATGTAAGAAAGAACACAAAACACAGGCTCAGAATTTCTGGAAGAAGCTCAATAGCAGGTAAAGGAATCACCAATTTCATACATGGGTATGATGAATTTTAAAAGGAACAGTTCTATCCCCTGTCATTTAAAATTCTTTAGTTCTGTGTGACTACATAGGTAAGATCTTTACGTTCAGAAACTACAAAGAAAACTAACTTTCAGCACTTTTCAGGCAGTACAAGGCTCAATTTTAATTTTCTTGTTCAGCTGAATTTGCTGTTCAGAAAGGAAGACAGATGCCCCAACAAATACAAACCCAGACTTTTCATTAATAAATTCCAGACATATCATGGGATTGCAGAGGATGTGGGAAATACCTTAGCCATCATTTGGAATCAGTGGTTTTAAGTCTTGGTGAGGCCTGAATGTCAACATTCTCCAAAACCTCATGGAGACCAGTGCACAGTAAGGATTAAGACTCACTGACTTAAGATCTCACAGCTTCTTTAACAGGAAAGAAAACTCAGACTCAGAGATGGCAAGAGGCTTGTCCTTGGATCACACATAGAATTACAGGCAGAGCTAAAATTTGGTCACTGTTATTAGCCCTCTCCCCATCACTGTCCTGTCTTTTGATGCCAAGATTTATTTTACATACAGATGACCCTCCATATCTTTGGGTTCTTCCTCCATGAATTCAACCAATTACAGATCAAAAATATTCAAGAAAAAAAATTGCACTGTACTAAAAATATGTAGCTTTTTTCTTGTATTTATTCCCTACCCATGCAGTATGACAACTTTATGCATAATATTTACATTTACCTTACATTAGGTACTGTAAGTTATCTGAGGCAGGAGGAGATAAATAAGATACTATGCAAATACTGTGCTATGATTATAAGGGACCAGAGCATCTGAGGCTTTGGTATTCACAGGGAGTCCTGGAACCACCCTCTGCACGTACTGAGGGATGACTGTTCCATGCTTCTTAAACTTGACTATTGAAACTGTAGTGAAATACTAATAAACGTGATGAGTCATAGTCTGAATTCTATGTTTAGAAAAGTTGGAAGTAACTCTTCTACTACCCTCAATAACCAGAAGTCAGGTATCAGTGTCTGAAAGGCAGAGCCACGCATTATCAGGGAGGTGTCAGTTGGCAAGGCCCCAAAAACCCTTCCCAGGTGGTATCACCTTGATGACTCCTGCATGGCCTGGAAGTTCAACCTTGTTCATGCCTCTGCACTTACAAGTCCTGGAGACACTGATTCACTCTGCCTAACTCACAAGAGACTCATGACATCCACTTACAAAGAGAAACAGGAGTCTTGAATGTTGGCCTGACAGACACATTCTCTTCCTTCCTGTAGGAAAACTCCTCACAGTAGTCAAGTCATAACCTGCACCTTCTTGGTGAGCAAGGAGTTGCATAATGACCTCATGTTGCAAAGGTGAACAAATCCTAGACGTCTCCATCAGACCATCTGAATACTGTCAGACTGGACAATGCTGAAAACCTCTGTTCCCAATGGACTGTCTCTGTTCTTCTTTGTGCTGACGCTGACCCAAGAACAAACCTGCTAGGGACCACCTGGACAGTGCTACTCTCATCCATCTACTGATCTAGTATGTAACATCACAAAGATGATCTTTCTATTGGACTTATGTTTACTGGTCACTATTGTCCTGATACATTCTTTGAGAAACAGAGTGATGCACATGCGCACACACACACACACACACACACACACACACGCACGCACGCACACACCTAAAACTGTGATATATTACTTTACACAGCAAAAGATACTTCGTAGATGAGTTTAAGTTAAGGGTCTTGATCTAGAGAGATTTTCCTGGCTATGAAGGTGGTATGAAAATAATTACAAGAAGTAAGAAGGTGAAGATTAGAGAAAAGGGATATGACAACATAAGCAGAGGTTGGAGTGGGGCATTTTTAAGACATAGGAAGGACCATAGGCTAAGAAAGAAGGCCACAAGAAATTGGAAAAAGTTAGGAAGTGAATTTCTTCCCTGAGCCTCCAGAAGGAGCACAATGCTACTGATGTTCTGATTTTAGCCTAAAGAAACCTACACTAATTCTGATCTACAGAACTTATAAAGTATTAAATCTGTGCTGTTTAAATCTATGATTATTTGCTGCTGCAGCAGTATAAGACTAACATACACAATTCTAAAAATAGCCTTAAATTTTAGAATATAACTTAATTAAATTGGGATCAAGTTTATTAAAATGTGTTTCCATTGGTGGCTAGAATTGAAGCCTATCTTATCTGATGAACAAGAGCGTTCTCAAATGCCCTCGAGGTTTGGAGAATGTCCCTCAACCAAGGGGAAGCTCGGTAAGGAGACTGCCCAATAAACTCACAGATTAACAAAGTTTTGGTCTTTATTATCCATAAAATGGGGTGATAATAACAGTGTCCAGCTATTAACAGGGCCCACTATGTCAGGATTCCAAGATGTAGTGCCTGTTAAACCCTTAGTATTGGATCTAGCATGTGGGCAGGACTTGGCGATTATTAGTCTTTATTTTCTTATTTTTGTCATTATCACTACTATCTTCATCATTATCATTGAAAACCCAGACACATTGGGATGGCTTCTAGGACATTCCTTGTACCTTCTCTGGCCCTACAAATTCCT